ACGGCATCGGCACAACAAAGGTCAGACAAGCTTAGGACAAAGAATACAATAACTACAATTTAAATAAGAATGTATTTTACCAGATTAATTAATGACAAAACAACTGGGGTGAGAGACATGGGTGAGTATGGAGAGAAATTTGTTCCAAAATTATTAAAATAAAAAAATATGTTTAAAAATAAGGAAATCTGTTTCGAAAATACAAAAAGTTCTTATAAAAAAGTTATCATATGCAAAACTTTGACTAATATTTTTGGGGGTTTATTTATATATTTATTTTCAAATACTCAATATTACGTATTTTATTCATTTATTTATTTTTTAAAATTTTTAGTCTGTTCTTTTATTAGTATTTGTTTCATTTTTTTTCAGATTTTTTTTTTATTTTTATTTTTTTTAATTAAAAATCCCAGGTTTCATTTTTTTACATTTCTAGAGGTTTTTTTTTTTTTTTTTACGAATTATGTTCTTTGTAATCTGTTTAACAGATTTCACCCTCTACATTTCTGGATGGTCTGTGTGTGAACCAATAGAAATTAGTTTACATGGATGTTAGCAACAGCATATATATGATTTAAAAAGAATGCAAATCATAAAATTCAGTCCCCTGAGAAAAATAAAATCTAGTTCAAAAATGGAACTTTGCAAATAAAAAAAATTAGAAATCTGTAAAAAATGTACAACTGTAATAAAATATAGACAGTAATGTTGCATACACATCATAACTTACACTCAAAACTTTTTTCATTGATGGTTTTCAAAGTTCCACTTTTCAAACCAATTTTCTTTGGGTTTCTTTTCCTGAAAGGTGTTCTCTGTTTTTAATAATATTGGAGCAAATGTCTCTCCATAGAAGGGCGTGTTGCTCAGTGTTTGTCCTTATGTTTGTCCTGCTGTTGGCTCTCCCAGCTCTGGTCTGTCTTTCCGCTGCAGGGACCCATCTGTATTCTGGGGTTATTCACAGGCGCACAGAAGATGACTGAGGAGATGATCCAATTACTGATGAGATCATGTTAAAACAGGAGTAGTTCTGCCGCTGGTTCTATGAGGATGTTTAAAAGAGAAATTCAAATCAATTTTGCTGTTAATATTTTTGGTCCCTTGTCTGTGTGTTTTACATCCTTCTGAGTTATTTAAGACATCTGGCCAGACATTTGTTGAGTCATACAGCTAACGATTTAACTTTTCTTTGTTTATTTGTTTTAGTCACACAAGGAAATATTTCCATGCAACTTTTCTATTGAAAGAAACTCAGGCTGAGACGACCGACCATGATTAAGCTTTTAAAACGCGTCCAGAACAGTTTGTGATTCTGACAGAATAGGGATTAGTAAACATACCACACTTTCACACTATTCACCAATATGGAGTAAATTATGTTCCATTATTAATGCAACATGTTTTTAAAATGGGAATATAAAAGAACTGGTGCTTTATTGAATACTCCTTTTCACTTTTAGTAGTTTTTCCTTTTTTAAGATCCTTTTGAATTTGCACTTTAAAGATCATACTCTTTTCACTTTGAGATTAATAAAAAAACCCTGCTTGACCAGCAGACCAATAGATATTCTGTATT